GATTGCCCAACCTTCCTTCCGAGGAGTGGCTGGTGGGTTTGAACCGCCAGCCGTCTGGTTAGCAGGCAAGTGTCTTAGCCACTATGCTACCAGAGCATAGGAATATATAATATATTCCAAAGAGTGGGTGCATTAATGTGCTAGTCTCATGATAACAGGGTTTTTAAAAAATATGATTCTCCTAATTATGTAGCAGTGGGAGATGAGAAATAGAATAAGAAAATAAGTGGCAATGTCTAAATTAAACCATTAATCCTGATTCTGAATCATACTGATTATTTTTTGATAAATACGAATTTAATATCTCTGTTTAACAAAAAAAAAAACTATACAAGGTTTTTAAATGCATAATTAAAACATTAATTTTTTAATACTTTAGAACTTTGTACAGTACATGTATAGATCTGTTTTCTTACAAGAGTACCATTTTAAGCTTAGTGAAACCTTAGACCTGCTCATTCAACTTCTTCATTTTACAAATGGAAGGAATTCAGACCAACAGAAATCCTGTCTTTCCCCAAGGATGCAGCCATTGAGCAAGATCACAAATTCAGGTCACCCAACTCCTAATCACTGTGCTCCATGTCATGTGGCAGATGCATTAGCCAACTGGGGTGTCAGTTCTCTTGTGCCTCTAAATCAAAACAAAGGATAGCTATGGTGCTTCCTTCTCACCTACTTGTTAAATCTTATAGTTTCCTTCTCATCTGGAGGAATAGGTGATCTCAATCTGCTCTTTATATTGGGGTGAAATTACAATCATGTTTGTATTATTTTTTAAAGGTCCTAAACCTCTTTCTGGCCTTGCTTCTGAGTTCATTCAGTGCAGACAACCTTGCCGCCACTGATGATGATAATGAAATGAACAATCTCCAGATTGCTGTGGATAGGATGCACAAAGGAATAGCTTACGTGAAAAGAAAAATATATGAATTTATTCAACAGTCCTTTGTTAGGAAAAAAAAGATTTTGGATGAGATTAAACCACTTGATGATCTAAACAACAAGAAGGACAGCTGTATGTCCAATCACACAGCAGAAATTGGGAAAGATCTTGACTATCTTAAAGATGTAAATGGAACCACAAGTGGCATAGGAACTGGCAGCAGTGTTGAAAAATACATTATCGATGAAAGTGATTACATGTCATTCATAAACAATCCCAGTCTTACTGTGACGGTACCAATCGCTGTTGGGGAGTCTGACTTTGAAAATTTAAACACAGAGGACTTCAGTAGTGAATCAGATGTGGAAGAAAGCAAAGAGGTAAGTTTTTAATAGAGGTGGATAGGTATAAATTTTTATATATTTCTGCATGTAAAATATTTCTGTATTTCTGATTTTATATTTTCAATCTAGAATTTTCTTGCCATCACCTAGAATTTTATTTCACTGAGGAACCAAACATTTAAGCCCAAGGAGGTAATCGATAAATTGAAGAATAATATGGTATATATTTTGAGTTTTCCCATTTTAATAATGGATATTTAATAAATAATAAATGAGTGAATGAATTAGTGAACAAACATCATCTGATTTAATCCTTAAAATAACCTGGAAAGAAATGTGTTATTACAACATTTCAAATAAGAAAACTAGCTCACATAACTTAAGGTCACATAACTACTTAGTGATAGAGCTAAGACTTGAACTTAGAACCTTCGTCTACAAGCCTGTGTATCTTCCATTGTATTGGCTCTCCTACTTATAAGAGAATTTAACATCAACAAAAAAAGATGCAAGATCTTCTGGGCTCAGAGAGTGCCCATTGTAGCTCATCTAACAGGAAATATTGTATGTAGCTTCTCCAGTTAAAATTGCATTGACTCACTTAAAATGTAAAGGTAAACCGTAATGGATATAGAAGACAGTTCAAAAAAAGAACATAAGGCGTGTTCATTTTACAGTTCATGTTGGAAGTCTTAAAAACATAAAGTTGCCCTTTAGGTAGCATAGTCTAAATATTTTAATGGATTGCCTACAATTAAAGACATTTTATTAGGGACACAATTCTACTAGATTATCACCACTTTCAAGAGTAACTACACTGTATTTTGATAGTTGTTTAAGGAAGATAGTCCAGGTATATGACATTCTATTGAATTAAATAAGTCCCTTTAAAGATGTCCTGAACTTTCTTAATGACTCTAAACCTAAGTTTCATCATCTTCCAGTTTTAGGATTGGGGACTAATGTTAGAGCTAGAAGCTGCTGCCTTGATCCCAGCCTCAGGGCTTTCTTTTTTTAGGTTCATGTTTGTATGTGGAGAAAAGGGGGAGGGAGGCAATGTGGAGACATAATGGTAGGTGGATCTTGGACACATTTCCCATCTCCATGGAAATGGTTTCAGGACAAATTGATAGATTATTTTTGCAAAACACTGCAAGATTTTCAGGATTTTTAGTTTAAATATTATCTCAGTCTAAAACATTGTTTTTTAAAGGACTTCAGTTTTGCTAAGGAACCAGATGGAGGCTTATTTTTTGGGGAAAAATGTTATCTTTTTATTTTAAATTTTTTTCTGACATCTGTTAAAATAAGTTTTGTAATATTCTTCCTATTCTGATGTTGTCTTGAAACTGTAGCCCAACATTTAATATTTGATGAAGACTAACATCTACTATTATTATCTGTTGAATTAAAAAAAAATTACTACAAAGACTCAGCCATAAAAAAATACATTACATTCTGCAAAAATTTGGCATCATGTATACTGAACACTGTTTTTGCTTATATTGACCAGGGCTGAAAGGAACACTGATCTCTTTATAAAATAACTATCCACAAAAACTGGGCAGTTCTGTTTCTCCATCATCTGTAACATTTCATATCTTGAAACTTTGCATTAATTGAAATTTTCATGTTATGTTAGTAAAAACTTTAGAGATAATTTAATGCAGTGTTTCTCTTGATTGTGAACTGTGTCACACTACGAGTCAAGAAACCAATTTATTGGGCCAGTATTTTTTTTTATTATTATTTTAATAAAATATGTTTCATTGGAATATGGCAGAGCACATTGCATAGGGATAACTATTGGTACATGTTTTGGTTCTCTAGTGCTGCTCTAACAGAAAAATACTAGATGGATGGATTTAACAAACAGAGATTTATCCTCTTATAGTTTAGGAGGCTAGACGTCTGAGTTCAAAGTGCCAGCTCTAGGGGCTGAGTGAAGGCCCCTTGACTTTCAGTGCTGCCTCTTGCTTCTGGCCCTCTGAAATTGAAGGCTTCTCTTAATTCAGACAGCAGCTAGCTGCTGACGCTGACAAACCCAAAGTTGACAAATAAAATGACATAGTCCCAAATTGTCAAGCAACACAGCAGGCCACTAGTTCAAGTCCATTAACAGTTCCAAGATCAGCAGACAACATGACAAGCCTTTGAAATGAAAACCAAACCAAAACCAAAAACACTGCCATCGAATCATATCCGACTCATAGAGACTCCTCCTTGGGTTTCTGAGGTGAGACTCCTCCTTGGGTTTCTGAGGTGATATCACTATGGAAATAGATTGTCCAACCTTCCTTCTGGGGAGTGGCTGGTGAGTTTGAACTGCCAGCCTTCTGGTTAGCAGTGTAATGCCCTATGCACTATACCACCAGAGTTCCAAAGACTTGGCCAAATGCCAGATCAAGAAGTGCTAAAAAGCTAGAGGCCTTCCTCAAAGCTGTTTCTTATATACTGAAAACAGATCATATCCTTAAGGCAGCAACTCAGCTGCTCTGGTGAATTCCACCATGGAGCTGATTATCAGTCTCATCATGGGCAATAGGGAGCTCTGGTAGCATAGTGGCTAAGACACTTGCCTGCTAACCAGACGGCTGGCGGTTCAAACCCACCAGCCACTCCTCGGAAGGAAGGTTGGGCAATCCTACTTCCGTAGTGATACTGTCTCGGAAACCCAAGGAGGGGTCGCTATGAGTCGGGGCCGACTCGACGGCACATAACAACAACAACAACAACATGGGCAATACCAACATCCAGCTTTCCAGCTACTCAAAACCAGGCCCAGCCAGACTGACCCACAAACCTTAACTACCACAGTACATGAAGCCTTTAATGAATTTTTTAAATCTAAATAGAGTGCACTCACTAGGTCCATAGGCTTAATTCCTGAGGTCTGGGAATTCTTAATTTTAAGAAACAGTTTCAGTTCTTGGAAGGTAGTCATCACGAAGCCTTCCCCACTACAGACGGAACAGAATGCTTACCCTGAGATGATACATCTTACAAAGTACCATAGTATTTTATGATAGAGATCATATGCATATATGTCTCTGCTTTTATGGTGTGGTTTATTTGTATGTATTTGGTACAAAGTAGGCACTCACTTCAAACTTCCCCAGCTTATTCAATGCTTCGTTATAGAATCATTTTGAAGGATTCTCATCATCACACTTGCTCTGATAAGAAAAAAACAAATCCCACTGCCATTGAGTTGATTCTGACTCATAGCAACCCCCATTGGGTTTCCAAGGCGGTAAATCTTTATAGAAGTAGTTGCTTCATCTTCCCTTCATCTGAGCGGCTGATGGGTTTGAACTACCAACCTTCTGATTAGCAGTCAAATATCTTAGTTTTATTTCCTATTATCTGTATCCTTTTGTTTCTCTTCTTCAATTTAATACTAAGTTCAATATTTTTATAGTTGCTATTAGCCATTTTGGGCTTCTAAAAAAATTATAATCCCTCATCTTTTTCAGTGAATTTCTGTTGAAATGCATTTGTGTCTCACCCAGCTGAAAATTTTAAACTAAATCCTGAATCCTCTGTTAATCTCCGTTACACTTCCATTTCCTTTCCTTAGTTTCTGAATACCACTTTTTGGAAATACCATTTTCTAGATTATTATATTACCTCAAATTTCCTGGCACTTCCACTTTCCACATGCTCTTCCTTCTTTGTCAGAAATAAATCCACACATAATTGTTTCTCCTCATTGCTTCCACAGTTGTATGCTGAACTATCTTCATCAAAGCAGGGCATATTTTATGAGATGTTCTTCTTTTAGAGGATTTAAATTGCTAGCACATGCCCCAAAATATGAAAGCTCTTTATTCTATATTAGAAATGCAGCCTATATTAGCTTTTTATTTTGGTTCTTTATTCTTTTTTCTACCTTCATTCATTCAGCAGTTATCATGTGCCAGGAAGTATACTAGATAAGGTTAAGGGCTAATAATAAATTAGGGATAAAAATATTATACACACACACACACACACAAGCTCTGGTAGCATAGTGCCTCAGGCACTTGACTGCTAACCAGAAAGCTGGTGGTTCAAACCCACCAGCCACTCCTCAGAAGCAAGGTTGGGCAATCTACTTCCCTAATGAT